TCATTCATTCAGCAAGCATTTATTAAGTGCTTACTATTTGTAAGATGTAATGCTAGACCTGGGGATACTAAGGCAAAAAACAAACAATTGCTGCCCTCAAGGAGCTTACATTCTAAGGGGAAAAGGGGAAAATATTATGAATGGAAAGAATGTTCCTTTCTTTTACTTACTTTGAAAAATTATAGTCAACGTAGTCAACCTTTAAAAATTCAAGAGATTCAGAGCCTTTGAAATCAGGAATACCATTTTTCTTCACTATCGGCTCAATGGCTTCCATGCCGGCCTGCATACCTGAAATGGGGAACAAAGAGATTTGCTCTTAAGTGGACTGATAAAGTTTAGGAGTTTCTAGTCCATGGGCCTGACATAAGGACATATCAGATTTCCATACGGCAGCACATCACTCGGTATTCTCCAAAGCACAGTCCAGACACAGCTGCCCCAGAAGAACCTTAGTTAGGTCAGCCCTGCAAGAGGAGAGATGGAGAATTAGGTGGTTCCAGGGGATGGGACTGATATAGAATGGATGTGTCACATGCCCTTGCTGGTAAAATGTCACACAATCATAGAATTTGAGGCATAGATTTGACATCTAGCCTACATTTGCCTCTCCCCACCTTCTACTCATCACCCTTCTGACTGAACCTAGGGTTTTCCCCACTAATGGCATCACAGTCATGGAAGTTGGTAGTTGGGAGAGACCTTAGGAACCATTTATTTGAACCCATCCACAAAAAGCAATTTCCTCTATGTAGAACATAGCTGATGAGTGATTATGCAGCCTCTGCTTGGAGATTTCTAGGACTGTACAAGGTCTGAAGGAAGGAAAGGCCGCCATAACTGGGGGGATTGGAAAGGCTTCATCGGGAAGGCTTTTTAAAAACACATTAATTAGCAACTGATCTCTGCATGAGTGATGGCATTAATTATACAGTCCTTCTGCCACTCAGCTGTGAAGAAGGTGAAAAAACCAGCCCGAATCAAAGTTTTCTCTGTCTAGGGTTATTGGCCATTGACATAGTCTACATGTGTTACCCGACTGTCGTAAAAGGGATGTGTTCAGCAAATCCTATAGAGCTCAGGAGTGGGGAGTGGTTATTCTCTGCTAAAAGCTCAACGCTTACCATAGTCTAGGCCCTTCTGGGTAATCCTCAGTTTGATCCCAGGGTAAACCTGAGTGGATTGAATGAGAGGGTTCCACAAGAGGAAACAGCCACAGAGGACCAGGATCTTCTCCACCTCCATCTGCTCTTTGGAGTGACCTGTTAACCAATACTAATGGTTATTAAGTTATGTGACCTCCATTTTCCCATCTTAAAATTTAATATTTGCACTGCATACCTCCCCAGGGCCCGGTGAGGAAAACACTTCTGTACATTTTAGAAGCCCTATAGAAATGGAAATCATTGATGGCGTTCATTTTACGCAGAGAAGGGAATACAAGGAAGGTCAGAAAGAAACAAAAACAAGACAACTTTGGGAGTTACAGGTTGGACTTAGTCTATACTTAATAATGAGATAATATTTGTCACCAAAAAAAAGTACTTAGCACTATGCCTGATGCAAAGTAGGACCATATAAATGCTTATTCCTTTACCTAATAAGAAAAGCAAGCCATCCAGTTTCACATGCAATCTTTCTTTTCGGTTCTACCATGTCTATGGAAATGTCCATTTTATTGGGTGTTTGTATATTTTTGGATAAAGATTAATATGAAGATATGTATCACTCATTTTACCAGAGAGCACGCTCCATCAGTACGGGCACCATGTCTTATCTAAACTGTATTTTCCTCAGTCCCTAGCACTGTGCTCCCACAAAGAAAGAGTCTAATAAACATCTGGGGAGTTGGAAAAAATATTTATTATTATTTTAATTATTCCTAACAGCCTTATAGGGATAGGATCATAGGAGTTAGAGACAGAAGGAACTTTACAGATTATGTAGTCAAGAGGTGTCAATCGCATCCTTGACATAGTCTGGAGTACTGAGTACCAGACCAGAATGAAGTGTTACTGGGAAACATTTAAGAAAATAAATAAAAATGCCATAGGACACAGATAATATTAATATGTGGTTTTCTAAGTCAATATACCCAGCAGTGATCCTTATGCACACTTTAGTGGTCCACCATTTTGATTTGACATCAATAATGCAGTCCAATGCCCTCATTATACTGATGAAGATATTGAGGGCTGGAGATTAAATTATTTTTTATTAAAATAATTAAGTACTTAATATGAAAAGTAAATTTTAAGTAATTGGAGGTTCACAGTTTTATGAGCCATCATCTCCGTCTTATAATGCATACGGAAATGCTCATTTTATCAAATATTTGTTGAGTTCAGAATAAAAACAAAATTAAGTGAAAATTTCAAAATGAGAGGAAGTAATTTTATCAAGGTCACACCAAGAGTATAGAATAGATTTTAAATCTCAAGTTTGAAAGAACTGAGTATCATATTCCTTTATTTTACACATAAAAAAATAAGGCCCAGGGAGGTAAGTTTCTTATCAAAGATCAAAGAGCTAGTAAGTGTCAGGGTCAAGGTTTTGTACTCTCTGACTTTCTTTCCTCTGTATCTTGCTGCTACCTCTCATTTTCGCTGTCCACTTTTAGGACTTAGAGGAATCATTGGTCAATTTTATAGAAAACCTACCTTGACATCACACCCCCATTTTCTTCCTTCCTTCCTTTCTGCAATCGGGGTTAAGTGAATTGCTCGAGGTCACATAGCTAGCAAGTATCTGAGGCTGGATTTGAACTCAAGTCCTCCTGACTCCACTGTACTGCCTATCTGCCTGATCACATTTTCATTTTCTTAATGAACTGAGGTATAAAGTTAATCATCGCAACAAAAATATGTGCAAAATGTTGGACAGATTAGGCTAGGAGATAAGGGAGGTGAGGGGGCAGTTACAATCTATGACAGATGTCATTGAGGCAGGCACACATACCAAGGAAAGGAATGCTACTAAATAGTCACTCAACAAATACACATTAAATTAATAAGCAAACATTTTTTGGGGGTGGTAAGGGAAGAGGAAGTCATGGGAGTTGGGTATTTAGACAAAGGCAAGGAGCAGAGGAAGGTCGCTAGCTATCTCAGGGAAGGATTCATGGGTATAAAGGATGAAGCAGCTGCTTCAGGGCTGAAAGGAAAATGGTGGTTTTTTTTAGGTAGGAACAAGTTGATGGAGAACTGCAAGCATCCATTGTGGGGCAGGGAAGGGAGGCAGCATGGAACAGTGGAAAGTACATTGGTTCTGGATTCAAAGGACCCAGGTTCAAATCCTCCCTATAATATTCATTGTTTGTATGTCCTTAGTCAAATCATTTAACTTTCCATATCATAACAACTGTGGGAAGAAGGCTCTAATATTATCTCTACTATATAAATGAGGATGATAGATGTTAAGTGACTTGCCCAGGGTCACACAGCTAGTAAATGTCTGAGATCAGATTTGAACTCAGGTGTTCCTGACTCCACTTCTAGTAATCTTTCCATGGTGCCTCCTAGCACCTACTATGGGCAAAGTTAGGCGATAGGAGTGACCTCGCTAGGACTCCATGTCCAGCATTCTATCCACTATGCCGGGGGCCCAACTCTTGAAAGGCAACATTTATGAGAACCATAAAAGATGACCAAGGCCTTGAGGATCTGAGAAAATCACTTCTGCAAACTTAGCCAACTTGTCCGTGATATTGGATTTTCCTTTTCTTCAGTCTTGTCTCTTTCCTGATAAAATTAAAACAACTTGGTGCCCTCAGTTAAACTGTAGTCTTCACTTAGAGCATATAGCCACAAAGTCAAGGGAAGGCCACTAAGGTTGCTTATAGGTAGAAGTTTGCCTTTTCCCCACTATGGTGCTTAATAAATGATTGTTGATTGATTGATGTGGGAGGCATGGTACTGAGAAATGATAACAACGCAATTAAAAAACAAGAGAAACTTCAATATAAAAGGAAAAATGATCTAGGTCAGGGGTTTTTACCTTGAGTCTATGAACTTGTATGTGTGCTTTTACTATTTAGATAACTGTATTTCAATAGGATTGGCTTTCTTTGTAATTCTATGTGTTTTATTTTATGCATTTCAAAACATTATTTTGAGAAGGAATTCATTGGCTTCACTATATATATGTATAGATATAGATCTCTCTCTCTCTCTCTCTCTCTCTCTCTCTCTCTCTCTCTCTCTCT